GTAGTAGTAGTAGTAGTAATAGTAATAATAATAATAATAATAATAATAATAATAATACGATAATAATTTCATTTTTCATTTAAAAAAAAAAAAATTTATAACTTGGACACATCTTTAGATTTAATATAAAAAATTAATCTCATTAATTTTTTTTTTTTTTTGGCGGGCAATTTAAAAATCTTAGTATTAAGTAACACAAAACACATGTAAAACGATTATAATAATAATAATAATAATAACGAGTGTGTGTGTGTGTGTGTAAACCAGAAGGAAGGTAGAGCATAAGTTTTAATTTTAATGCCCTTTTTTTTTTTTTTTTAGTTTTTTAATGGGGGATTAAAATTGACAAATGATTCACTTATAATATCCTACTAATAAATCATAATAATGATAATATATAATAATTATTATTATCTTCGTCATCATCATCACATGTTTTTTTTATTTTTTTCAGGTATTGTGATTTAGGTTATCCGATCGATGTTAAATTCATCGATTTGCAAGCCATGAGATATGGTTCTTGCGTTTTAGACGTTATGCACGTATTATTTACAAGTTCAAGGCCGAAAGTACAAGAAAAACATTTGGAAATTTTACTTTTCGAATATTACGACAATTTATGCGAAAATGCTCAAAAATTGGACGAAACCCTCGAATTCTCGTACGACGAATTCAAAAATGAACTCAAAGAAAAATTATATTTCGGAGTATTCGTATCTTGCCTCATGTTTACGTGCATAACGAAGAAATCAGGGTCGGAAGAAGAAACGCCGGATTTAGATTACACTTTGGAAAATTTAAGGAACGAAATACAAATAGAAAGGACGTACAAAACCTTGAGTTTAGAATATCACGAAAGGATTCGTAGATTATTTTTAACTCTCACGGATTTTAATTTGATTTGATGTGATAATTTATATATACGTATAGATCTTCCTTCATTCACGATGATATTATTATTATTATTATTATTATTATTACTATTAATTATTTATTTTAACGTTATGAGAAAATTTATTTTTATTTTTAATTTTTTTTGTTTAATATTATTTGTTAATAAACAATTCGAAAAATCACGTATAATATCGATGATTAATTTCGAACCTAAATTCCTTCTTTTTTTTTTATTACTCACCCTCACCCCCACCCCGGTCCAGAGTAATAATAATAATTTTAAAAAAAAAAAAAATGTGAGTATATAAAAAAAACTATTATTATTATTTTAATTAGGAAAAAATTAAAATCGCGAAAAATAATAAAAATAAAAAAAACAAAAGTTTTACTTCAAGTCTTTATTATTATTATTATTTTTTTTAATAATATAATTAATTTTTTTTAATTAATTCGTTATCTTTTTTTTTATTAAAATTAAGTAATAAAAATTACTACCGATGTGAAAAAATAATATAAAACGATAGATATTCGTGAGGAATTTTTTTTTTTTATAGAGAACAATTAAAATATTCTTCTGATAATTAATTAAAATCATGATTATGTAGGTGTATACGTATATTTATTATATTATTATTTATTACCGGTAATAAATAAATTTAAATCGTTAAAAATCGTTCTCTCTCTCTCTATCTAATTTCTTTCACAGGGTAATTTTTCACCGAGTAAAATAATAATAATAATATTACATAACACAAATTTGCATCATTACAAAAAAAAAAAAATCTTTTTAAAACGCGCTTCCGATAAAAGGTAATAAAAAAAAATGGGAGGGGGAGGAGGGTAATAATTTTTTTTTTTTTAAACGTAAAACCCTTTAATTTAAAAACCACTAAGTAGGAAAAGAGAGAGAAAGAGAGAGAGAGAGAGAGAGTGAAAGTGGTTAACCTTCTCAACCACCAAAGAAATGATTCCCAAAAAAAAAAAAAAAAAAAAAAATTTTTTACAAGGTTACGAACCGTCCATCCGTCCGCCCGTCCGTACGCGTGCGTTCGTTCATGCGTTCCTACGTGTGCGTAACTGATCACATTAAAAATATCATTATTATTATTATTATTATTATCATTAAAACGAGACGAATGAGTATTTTTTTTTTTTTTTTCGATTCGTGATTTACAATTGTTTTTGTTACGTAATGTCAAACGAACAAATTCTCAACAACCTTAGAAGCCAAATCATATATTATTCATATTACTATTATTATTATTATTATTAGTTGACAATCGTTTCTTTTCTTATTTTTTTTTTTAACAATGAATTTTTTTGTTTTATTACCCGAATTTTTTTTTTTTTTAACCACCCGTTAAATTTAATTTAAAAATAAAATAAAATAATAATAATAATAATAATTTTTTCGTTACACAACAAACGATTTCGTATAATTACACATTTTTTATCATTTTTTATTTTTATTCGTATACGTACACGTAGATATTTACATACATTGCATTTTTATATACGTTTTTATTAGGGTAATAAATAGTAATTAATTTACTTTTATTTTTTAAATAAATAAATAAATAAAAAAACTTATGCAAACGTGTCGCATTTTACCCTTGCTTATTATACCCCGCCATCAACTCATTTTTTTAAATTTACTACTACGTTATTATTATTATTATTATTATTATTGTTTTTTTTTTTTTACATCGAAACGTGATATACCGACACGTTTTAAAATTATTACAAATTAAGTTTAAACATTCTTTTTTTTGTTGTTGTTGTTATAATATTAAATTAATCGTTTTAAATTGTTATAGCAATATTAATAATAATAAAACAAACAATAAACTTTTACTTTATCATCTTTAGTATTACATTTAATTTTAATTATATCACGATTATGATTTGTTTTTTAAATTATTATTATTATTAAATTTTATTACTATTATTATCATCATCATCATTTTCCATCCTTTTTTTTTTTTTTTAAATTTTGTGAAAAACTTTTGTAAAAGTTTAAATAACCGAATAATAAAAATAAATAAATAAATAAACGTTTAAGTGTTACAAATAATAATCGTCGTCGTCATTCGCGATAAAATCTATGAATAAAATTTTTTAAAAAATGATAATGATGATGATGATAATGGTATTAATAAATAGTAAAACGCGCGTAATTACACGCACGCACACGCACACGCACGTCACGTTATTTATTTCAAATGAATAAACATTTTAATTTTATTTATATAGTTAAACGTAAAATGACGTTTTTACTTATTTTCTCGTCCTTTTTAAATTTATTGATGTTTTTAATTAAATGACCCATCATTTTCAAATTTTACAATGTTACGTCATCGTTTTTTCTTTTGGATATTTATAATAATAATAATAATAATAATAATAATAATAATAATAATAATAATAACTTTAAAATAATACGAGATTTTTTTCTTTTTTACAAAATTTGTTTATTTTTTTACAAAAGACTTAAAAAAGTGACAAAATAAAAATGATAAATAAAAAAAATTTTATTTAAAACTAAATAAATAAATTATGTAAGCTGGGGGTGGGGTGGGGTGAGGGATTCGTTTAAAAATTATTCAATAAATAAAAATTTATTAATCCCCGATTTTTTTATTACTGATTTTTTGGCTTGTGAAAATTATTTGTAAGAAAAATAAAAAAAGAAATTAATAGATCGTGATGAATTTTTAATTTTAAAATAAAAATTTGGTATATATATATATATATATATATATATATATATATATAGTATTATACAATATTTGAGGTCAAAGTTGCGATTTTAAACTCATCACCTGTACAAAAAAAAAAAAAAAATTTTTTTTTTATATAAAAAAAGTTCACGCCAATAAATTTACACGGTATTTTTATTTATTTATAATTATTAGGTTTTATTTTCGTAGGAAATGAATATAGAAAAAAAATCTGTGTCGTAACGTTTCGTACATGAGAAAAAAAATTTTTTTTTTATTATACAACAACAACAACAACAACTTTTTCGTTTGTAGACTAATTAGTATTTAAATTTTAGCAATCTTGAGTGTTTTTATTTTATTATTATTATTATTAATTGTTGCAAGGCCAGTTTTTTTTTTTTTTTTTTTTTGGCAAAAGATTTTTCATTCAAAAACAAAAACATTGAATCCTCTAAAAAGATTTTTAAAAAAACCAACCATTTTTATTTTACTTTTATTCTTTTTATAAATAAAAAACAATTTTAATTGTTCCAGTATTTTAAATTCCAGAAAAAAATTTCCAGTTACGTTATACAAAAAAAAAAAAATTAAATAAATAAATTTTATAGTTCATCAAAACATTAAAAATTTAAAAAAAAATTTTGTTTAAGATTAAATCTTTGATCACGTTTGTTTTAAATATATATTTAAAATGATGTAAAAGCAGAAGACTTCACACGAATTATTTTGATCCACACACACACACGCACACAACCGGTCGATCGTAATTCATTCATTTCCCTGTCTTTTATTTGAAATATAATTAAATGTTTAAATTAAATGATATTAAAAAAAAAAAAAAATTAGAATTTTCCAGAAGTCGTACTTCTATCATTCATTCATTAGCGAAAGACACAGAAATAAAAATAAAAAAAAGTTTTTCATTTAATAACTTGCGTGTGACCTCTGACTGGTAAAAACGATTTATTACCCATATCGATATGAAAAAAAAAATTACTCATAGGTACTTATTTAAAAAAAAAAAAATAAATTGCACGGGAATATATGTATTATTATTATTAATATTAATAATAAATCCGCTACTACATTTTAGTGTCGAAATTATTAATATTTTTTTTTTTTTTTTTCAAAATGTATTTACATAATTCATCGTTTTTTTTTTTCAATCGAAAAAATTATTATTATTATTTTTTTAAATTTTCCTGTTGGTTTTCAACGAATAAATTTATTTATTTATTTATTTATTATTTTCCTCCAAACTTCATCCACGTATTTAAAACGTAATAAACAAACAAAAAAAAAAAGAAAAGTAATTTAAGAGAATTTTATCTTGCTGGAGGATAAATACAAATTAATGGAAAAACAAAAAGAAAAAAAAAAAAAAAGTTAAAACTTTAACCCGATTACGAGAGACAGGAAGAGGTTAAAAGATCAGATTAGGTAAAATTCAAAAAAAAAACCCCATTACAAAAAAAAAAAAAAAAAATTTTCTTCTTAATTATTAACGATAATGATAATTTTATTTAAACAACATAAACACCCGGTGAGAAGTGCTAAAATCTTTACTTATATTATTATTATTATTATTATTATCATCATTATTAATTATTAATTAATTAACGCATTGTAAACTCTCCGTAAATACTCCATTTTACGCTCTTTAATAAACCTAATTTTTTTTATAATGCCGCCATTTTGTTGTTGTTGTTTTTTTTCTTGCTCAAAAACGATTAAATCATTTTTTTTACTGTATTACGCACACCCCCATATTTTTCTATTTATTTTTTGAATCGATAACTATAAATATCAATGTCGTTAAATATTTAATTTAAATAAAATTAACTTTGGGTCACGAGTAATAAAAAAAAAAAACTATCTTTATTTAGTTTTGTTTTTTAATACCCGTGACGTCATTAACATTAAAAAAGAAAATACATTAAACGTCAAGTTATGAAAAGAATATTTGTGACCGTTAAGGTCACATCGGAGTCCGATTTATTTGTTTTTAATTATTCATCTAAGTAAATGTAAACCCTCGCCCCCGCCCTCCGAAAAAAAAAATTTTTCAATTTGTTACGTAAACTTTCAAATAATTTAAATTATTTTATTTAATAATAAGTAAAATAAAATACGATTCGAATTTTAAAAATTAATAATAATGATGATGAGATTTAAATTTAAAAAAAAAAACTATATGCACACATTATGTCATAAAAATCATACATAATATAATAAAATGTTTGTCTCAGCTTTTTCAACATTTATACCACCACATCCCTAAGGAATAA